CTGCCATTAGAGTCTGGCGGTAGACCCGGAGTCTCTCCTTACCTTCAGCCGAGTTGTAGTCCCAGGTAGGGAGGGATAAGGGGAAGGCAGCGTTTATGAGATCTGGGTTTTGAGTCGGCTGTCTGTCCTCTCCCAGGACAGACTTCCGAGCTTCCACCTGTATTCGTTCTCTCTGTTCGGTGGTGAAGAGAACCTGCCAAGAGCTGCTGACAGTCATCCCAAGTAGGCTGGTGGGTAAAGAGAACAGTATCTAAAAGCCCAATTAAATCTTTTGGGTTATCGGAGAACTTTGCATTTTGAGTTCTCCAATTATATAAATCACTGGTGGAGAATGGCCAATATAACACTGGTTGTTCTCCAGACTCGTCGGGAGGCCCCATGGCGTGGAGGGGAAGGGTGGTGGAGTCCGCTAGCCCCATATTTGAGGGTGGGGCCGCCCGGTGGGTCCGTCCACGTGTCCCTGCTGCTGGCCCACGCACAGGAATTCCTTCATCAGGGAGGGGTGATGCCCTTCCTGCAGCCCCTGGTGCTTCCAATGGAGGGGCGGAAGGGGGAGGGGGAGCCTGGTAGGGCTGCGGATGAATCAGGTCTTCCGGAGAGGAATCCTGCAAGACCGGATAAAGGGGCGTTTTGGCCTTTGTGTTCAGTCTCCTTCTCAGCTTTCCGCAGGGCTAGAACCTTGGTAGGTCCTGCTTTGGGGGGTAAGAATGGTTTTAGCCAAGAAGGGGGGTTTTCGATCATGTCCTGCCAGACCAGGATGTAGGGCACCTGGTCAGGGTGGCCGTCCGGTTTGTCCTTGAAGATTACGGCCTTGACCTGCAAAATAATAGGTAGGTGGAAAGTTCCTTCTCAGGGCCATCCCACGTCAAAGGTTGGCCATTCTGACATGCAGTAAGTCTGAAATTTCCCTTTTCTTATGTCTGTGCTCAAATTATGAGCCCTTTCCTTAACGTCCAAGAAGTGGGAGAGCATAAGAGACAGGGGGCTGGTTTGGGTCTGCCCCATTTCAATCCACACCAAGACACAAAGAGTTATGACGATTAACAAGGACACAATAACACAGACAAACGTTCCAGCGCGGCCACGGAAACAAAACAGAAAGTAAAACGAAGGGCTGGCTGTCCGTAATGGCAGCCGGCCCCCTTCACAGATGAGGACTTCATCCTCCTGGCGGGGGCAAGGGACATCTCCCAAGACCTCCGGTCGACGGCTCGCCAGCACGTCCGCTTAAGCCAATGCCAACCCAAAGACAGTTTAGAATTCCTACAGGTAGAGATACAGTATAGAGCTCTCAGAAAATATGTGCGCAAAAGGTATAAGCTGAGTGCACTCACCAGATGTGGGACCCTCCGGGTGGGGTCCTGGGGGTCTCTCGAATCCCGGGACGAGCCCCCAAATGTAATGCCCCCAATTTCAAATCCGAGAGACCACCAAGGAGCCGATACCGATGCAAACGCACGAGGGTTTATTTGCAAGCTCGAGCTTGGGCCCAAGTATACCCGACACAGAGGAGCAGGGACTTGGACCCCTCGGTTAAAAGGCGTAGCAGTTTTTTAGGGGCCAGTGGCCAATGAGATTGTAACACACACAGTTGCATAGTCTTGTCAGTCCACATGCAGGTGGCCAATTGAATTACAATTTACCCTATAGTAACTGTTTGAACTAGCCTATCATTCTGGTTAGAATTGGCGCGCAAGTTTGGTGGGCAAAAGGCGGAGTTTACATTCTTTGGCGGTTAGGGGTTCTGCATTCCTATATGAGCCAGTTTCCAGTAAGGGTGTGCTCAGCGGCTTGACTAGGGTGGGGGAGTGTCTTAAGCAATAAGTAGGTCATGTGGGGGTTACACATGACATGGTGGGTGTAGCACAAAATGGAGTTAGTCTTGCCTGCTTGTCCAGGGGTAGGGGATTTTTGTTAAATTCCTTGGGTCCCACATTCCCCCCTTTTCCAGAGGATACTATGCAGGACCCAATCATGGGTTCTGGATTTCTGTCGAGTCAGTGGTTGGTATTGTTGCCTGAGTACCATGAGTTGAACTGTGTTGACTAGGTCCCTGACAAAAGCCACTAGTCTATTAATGAGGCAGGGCCCAAAGGTCAGAAGGAGGAGAAGGATGATCAGGGGACCGGCTAGGGAGGACAATAAGGTAGTCAGCCAGGGAGAATGATTGAACCATGATTCAAACCATCCCTGTTGCTGCTCTCGCTCTCGTTTTCGCTTGGCTAATCCTTCCCTTACCTTAGCCATTGATTCTCGTACTATCTCTGAGTGGTCAGTGTAGAAAAAGCACTCTTCGTTCAGGGCAGCACAGACTCCTCCTTGTTGTAGAAAAACTAGGTCTAATCCCCTCCTATTTTGGAGCACCAGTTCAGACAAAGACATTAGGGATTCTTGGAGGTGGGAAATGGAGGTTTCTATGCGTTCTAGGTCTATATCAATGGCAGCTCTAAGGCTACTGTAGTGGGAGGCCTGGGTGGCTAGTGAGGCAATACCCGTCCCTGCGCCAGCCAATCCAATTCCCAGTAGGGAGGTGATGGTGATAGCGGAGATGGGCTCCCTTTTATTTCGCCCGTGGGTATCTGCGCCCTTCCACTGAAGTACCTGCTCATCTGAATGGTGGATGATTCTAGGGAGTAGCTGAGCCAGCACACAGAAGCCCCCAGTTCTGTTTATAACCTGACCATGAGCACAGGGAGTTAAACCCTCAGAACAAGCCCACCAACTGTCTTGGGGCGGTAGATAATACCCTGTATTATTTGTAGACTGTGTAATGTTGCACAGAGCCTGGTGGTGGTGTGGAGTGCCTATACAGAGTCCCTGGCCGAACACGGACTGCAAGGTGAGGCCTTTACTACCAGGCTTTGGGTTCCACCTGCAAGCATTAGGGTCCGTGGTTGTGTTATATTGACCCATTATTGCGATACCCTCATAGAAGGGGGGGCGGACGTCATAGCACAGCCAGCAGGATCGGGTAAGATTGGGATTAGTTGCGTTGAGGAATTTGTAAGCCTTGGACATCAGGGCCCAAAGAGGGTGCTGAGAAGGGTCGAGGGGGAGGAGAGGGGAGAGGAGAGTCGGGACTGGGGTGCCACCACCAGAGGTGTTGTGGGCAAGATTCAGAGGGTGTGCTGCAGGTGTTGCCTGAGGTTGAGGAGGTAGTAGCACAGTGTTGGGACCTATCCTAAGGGTTTCCCTTGACCTTTCGGTTTCTCTAGTTGTCTGATCATGAATAGGACTCCGTTATCATACCCGCTTTGGTGAAGCCGGAGTCCCCACAGAAGTCCTACCCCCCAATTTGTTTCTTGTTTCCCAGTCTCCGTGAAGGAAATGGTGACTGGATTACAGTAAGGGCGTTCCGAGCATGAGGGGTGCGTAGTATTCAGTTGCATTTTTATGAGGCTGGATGGGTTTTGTGACAGCCAATTGCATGTCCCAGTTTGTTCGCAACCCCATGTTTTGCAGAAGTAGTCTGTCCAGCCACCGCATTTGGAGGCCTTATTATGGTCAGACTGAGAGGGGGCCGGACACACATAAAAACAGGTATCTTGGAGGGCCATCTTGGCCCTCTCGGTGCCACATCCTGGTATTCCTATTCTGCCTTGGTGCCAGGGGTCCTGACTGAATAGTTCACACAAGTCAATAGTCAGATTAGGCCACCAGGTCCCTCTAGGGTGTAGCTCGGACAGCTGGGTTACTACCTGATTAGAGCTTGGGGTGATGATTTGCCAGGTTAGATTAAGTGGTTTGGGGTTGGGTTTAGCCGCGAGGGGATACAGCGCAAGTAATATTAGCGGGGTAAGTGGGAGCGACGCAGCCTTAGCTTTAAGGGATTGTCCTTGTCGGGCTGACTCTTCCATTCTGGAACAAAGTCCTTGAGGACAGCGTGTGGATCAGCTGGCCGGACGTGGGTGTAGTGGACCCAGGGAGTTATTCCGTTGACCTTGAGAGTGGTGGGCGTGGTCAGGATCACAATATAGGGTCTTTTCCAGCAAGGTTGGAGCGTCTGCTGTTGGTGCCTCCGCACGTACACCCAATCGCCTGGTCAATTCTGATGGGGGTCAGGAGGCGGCCCGGTCTCGTAGAGGGCCCTCAGCTTAGGCCACACCCGCTCATGGGCTCTTTGTAACATTTGGAGGGAGAAAAGAAATTGTTGGTCATTGAACTCAGCAAGCACTTCGGGTTTCAAGGCAGGAATGATAGGTGGAGGTATACCAAACATGATTTCGTAGGGAGTCAGTTCCATCTTATATGGTGAGTTTCTCACCCTATATAGGGCAAAGGGGAGGAGAGTGACCCAGTCCCCGCCAGTCTCCAAGGCTAATTTAGTTAAGGTCTCTTTTAATGTCCTATTCATCCTCTCTACCTGACCTGAGCTCTGGGGTCTGTGAGCACAATGTAATTTCCAATCTGCCCCCAGTATTTGTGCTACTCCCTGTGTTACCTTAGGAATGAACCCCGGTCCACTGTCAGATCCGATCCTGGCAGGAAATCCATACCTTGGCAGAATGTCCTCCAGCAGCTTTTTGATCACGGTTTGCACTGTTTTGTGCTTGGTGGGGAATGCCTCTGTCCACCCTGAAAAGGTATCTACGAAAACTAGCAAGTACTTGTACCCATACTTTCCAGGCCTTACCTCAGTGAAATCTACTTCCCAGTATGTTCCTCGGCAGTCTCCCCTGAGTTGGGTTCTGGGGTTAGACCCATGGGTGGTGGCGTTGGTTAGCTGGCATGCATGACAGCTTGCCACAATCTGCTTGATCTTTGCTCAAGAGTCTTTAATAATGATCTTAGCATGTCGTATGAGGTCTTCCATCTTTCTTGTTCCCGTAGGAGTACTCCGATGCATTTTGTTTTTTTTGTTTTGTTTTTTTTTTAATTTTTTTTTTCAACGTTTATTTATTTTTCGGACAGAGAGAGACAGAGCATGAACGGGTGAGGGGCAGAGAGAGAGGGAGACACAGAATCGGAAACAGGCTCCAGGCTCTGAGCCGTCAGCCCAGAGCCTGACGCGGGGCTTGAACTCATGGACCGCGAGATCGTGACCTGGCTGAAGTCAGACGCTTAACCGACTGCGCCACCCAGGCGCCCCACTCCGATGCATTTTGGATAGGACTTGTCATCCTAGTTCCTCTGGCAGGATGATGCTGGAGTCTGCGGCCCTCCACCAGCCATGCAAGCATTGGGTCATAGGCAAGCGTTTAATCCATTGTAAGTCAGTGCCAGTATAGTTGGGGGTGTCCAGCAGAGTCGGTGCCCCTGGATCGGGTAGCATGGTTGTTAAAACCTGAGTCACCAAAAGGGCTGCCTCCTTTGCTTTTGAGTCGGCTAGCCAGTTTCCCCTGGCTAGTGGTGTGTCTGCTTTTTGGTGTCCTGGACAATGGATGATAGCTAGTGCCTTGGGCAGCCAGAGGGCCCTTAGGAGTTCAAGAATCTCTGTTTTGTTTTTAATAGTCTTTGCCTCTGCTGTCAGAAGCCCTCTCTCTCTGTAAAGGGCTCCGTGGATATGAGCGGTGGCAAAGGCGTACCTGCTGTTGGTGTAAATGTTTATTCGTTTACCCTCTCCCATGGTTAGTGCCTTGGCCAGGGCGATCAGTTCTGCCTGTTGAGCCGATGTTCCGGCTGCCAATGGCTCTGCCCAGATGATCTCCATCTCTGTGGTTATGGCTGCCCCCGCGTATCTGATTCCTTCTCGGACAAAACTGCTGCCGTCCATATACCAGGTGGCGTCCACGTTAGGCAGTGGCTGGTCCCGGAGATCAGCCCTGACTCCGTGCACCTGTGCCAAAATCTCTTGACAGTTATGCAGAGGGGGGGGTCCCAGTCTGAGTTAGGGAGTAGTGTTGCCGGATTCAGGGTTGTAGGTGGCTTGAATAAAATTCTGGTGGGGTTTAGCAGTAGGCTCTGATAATGGGTCAGACGAGCATTGCTGATCCAGTGGTCTGGGGGCTGTTTGAGTACCCCTTCAATAGCATGTGGGGTGGTAGCATATAGTTTTTGCCCCATGGCTATCTTGTCTGCGTCCTTGACCATAGTGGCCACCGCGGAAATAATTTTTAAGCATGGGGGCCATCCAGTGGCCACCGTGTCCAGCTTTTTAGAGAGATAAGCTATGGGTCTTTTCCAGGGACCTATGTACTGGACAAGGACCCCTTTTGCCACCCTGTCTTTCTTGTCTACATACAGGTAGAAGGGCTTGGTTAGGTCAGGCAACCCGAGAGCCGAGGCAGACAGCAAGGCCTGTTTAAGGTCATTAAAGGCCTTGTTCATGGCCTCTGTCCATTCAAAATTTTGTTGGTGCCTGGT